AATTATTTAAAAAACCTTTAGATTTAGACATTATAAATCTTATTAAAACAAACACTTATTTTGCTCAGAGAATCCAAAAATGCAATAATACATAGGGTATTTCATTTAGAAAAACATAACTTTGATACTTTTAGGGCTTTTGGGACGCTCTGTACATTACAAAAATATTTCTAAAATGTGCTTCCGATAGGCGCCAGTGGATTCATCAAATAATACTTTGCAAAAAACAAACGGGGTAGCCGCAAACGTCCGTGCCGTATAGCGTGAATAACCCTGTACACCCTTAAAAGGAATGACGCCAATTTTGAATCACCCTGTATGGCCACCAACCAAATTAACTCAAAGCCACGCAAATATATTTTAGCTAAAATGTGGGCGTTTTGCGTTCCGCAGGAAAACCGCACCATTTTGGGCAGCTTCATCTACAGCCGACCCATGAAGGACAGACGTTGGGATTGGCGGGACGTGATCCTACCAGCGATTCCTGCCCAACCAGTAGGAATGCAGTTTATGAGTTACGTAATTCGAGGTTTGGAACCGGCCCAGCGGTACGAGGCGCGAGTTCAGGCCCGGAATAAGTTCGGCTGGAGCCCGGAAATACCGGTTTTCACCTTTAAGACCACCGATACAGGTTTGTAGGATTTTTGCACATTCGAGTGCACCAATCGCAGCCAAAATACACGTACAAAAGACGTTGTGTTCAAGGGCGGATCCAGGGGGGGGGGGTCATGGGCCCCCATTCAATTCTCTATCCAACGATGCCTAAACGAATTCTGTGGCTCGAATAGTTCTTGAGAAACTTCGAAAAAAGCAGCGTCATGTTCAAGTGGATTTTGCAACTCAAAGAACACCACGCAAATCTAAAACTTCTGGAATTCAAGCATTTTTTGAGAAAACTGCCAACATTTCCCCATCCATGGTTCACATTAAAAAAAAACATTTATTTCTGTCTAAAATGATCTACAAATGAGCGTTCTTGCTCATTTTGTCTTTGAGAAATGGGCAAAAACGGGAGGGAACACATGGAATTTTGGCATAATCTTGCACCTAAGTGTCTGCTAATCAAATTTCGCTTTCTGGGTCAAAACTACTCAAATTTCCTCATTAACGTTGTTACGACTGATAGGACTTTTCAATTCTCTATCCAACGATGCCAAAACGAATTCTGTGGCTCGAATGGTTCTTGAGAAACTTCGAATAAACGCTATTCAGTTATCTCTGGAATAATGTAAAAACGAGCGTTCTTGCTCATTTTGCTTCCGAGAAACATGCAAACCGGGACGGAAAACCTGAAATTTTGCAATAATCTTGCTCCACCCTTGCACAAAACGACGATATTTTTTCTAATTTCATAGACAACAGAAGACTGTATTTTTTACTGTTGTAGAACTGTTAGGCATTTCTTTATGTTTCATGCACCTCTTTTTTGCCATTGCACTGCACTGGTTTGTGTCACGCCTTTGGATGAAAATTAGATGAAAGCACCACTGATAACCGGCAATTATCTGCTGGTAAGAACAGCGACTTCGAGCGGGAAGTGGAAAATTGTTTGCGTTTTTTTTGTTGCAGAAAATGCCATTTCAGAAGACGTGCAGGGCGTCACATATAGGAGTGCTGGCCCATACATCGGACATTCCTACGTGGAGTGCGTATTTTTGACCGTTTTTTCAATGTTTGTTCATTATTATCGATTTTAAATCTCCTTGTGAACCTTGATCGGTTTGAGCAGAAAACCCACTTTCCTTTTGAGCGCCCCCCTGAAATTAGGTTTTAACTTGTGTAAATATTCACTGTAAATAAGGCAAGTCATTGTAATTATAATAATTGCAAAATACCATCTAAAAGTATATTAAATATTTTTTGTATATAGACTATACATTACTCTAACGATATTACCAATATTTACAATGTCTGTGGTGTTAAGATAGGTGAAACTAACGGCTTTATAAAAATGGACGCGAGATGGCTTGACTATGATGAAGTGACCAAAAATGTCGTTTTTATAAAGTGACAATGGGGTTTATTATAAAGCATTTCTGTCCGCCCCAGCAGAATGCCTGGTAAAACAAAATTTCCAAATCGTAAACAGATCTTATTACAAATATATGTCTATAGAGCTTTATAAGGATTTATATTTTTCAGTTCAGTTATTGTGAACGACGCTTTCATTGTTTGTGTAGATAAGATTTTCCACAAAAATTCCCATATTTTCCTTAGAAACATTCGAGCTTAAGTACCAATTAAGTTCCACGTTTTGTAACCTTCATACCACTTTTGAATGTATAGGATATTATACAAATAAAGTACAGGTATGGTCTGCTCAAAGAGACTTTTTTAAACCCACAAACCCTCCCGCTTCGGCTTTAACTTTATTATATGTATACACTTTTCCAATTAGAATCACGGTCACTAATAAGATTTTTGCATATTCTCCCTGATTCACACCAGATCGATTGTTTGGGTTTTATTTTATGGAATATCTAGACTATCTTTGTTCGGATAACAGTATTTTAACACAACAGCCGAACATGATTTTAAAACCTAATTTTGTCTGTTATACGTATTTTAGTAATTCGACTTCGAGGCCATTCCTCGAATCTAATCAGTTTTTCGGGGTTTTAGGCCGTCGTTCGGTAGAATTTCCTCCTGACGTTTCGCAAGCACGAGTGGCTTGCATCTTCAGAAGTGGTTTGCTTGAACGCTTAGACTGTTCCGATCGGACAGTGACAGTTCTTCCGCAGAACTGAACGGGTTCTAATGAGAATTCTACCAAACGACGAGAATTTATTCCTGAGGTTTCGCAAGAAATCGAATTTCTTCTTGACGTTTCGCAAGCACGAGTGCAACATTTTTAACCCTTGAAACTAATGGGTTTTTCGGGTTTTTAGGCCATCGTTCGGTAGAATTTCCTCCTGACGTTTCGCAAGGACGAGTGGCTTACATCTTCAGAAGTGGTTTGCTTGAACGCTTACACTGTTCAGTTCTTCCGCAGAACTGAACGTGTTCTGATGAGAAGTGTAAGCGTTCAAGCAAACCACTTCTGAAGATGTAAGCCACTCGTCCTTGCGAAACGTCAGGAGGAAATTCTACCGAACGACGGCCTAAAAACCCGAAAAACCCATTAGTTTCAAGGGTTAAAAATATTACAAATCAATCTGAGACGTACCTGATCCTAGAATTCATTGCAGAAATTAAACCGTTAAATCTGGTCGACAAAAATGGCAACAGTGCATTCAAAATATGCACAATTTGTTCCTGCGCGTCACCAGCTTCGTATTCAGACTTTTTCAGCGTTTTTAAACCTGAAAAAGTCAACCCCATGACCTTGACCTACTTAACAAATTTTGTGTAACACCTAGCAAATCCATCTCAGACGTACGTCGTTCGCTTCAACTGGGCTTTGATCCAGCCCAAGTCACGTCGCTTCGTTGTTCATGGCCACAATCAGTGTACCATTTTGCACTTACGGGGTGAGGCCGTTTCCTAATCGCTCCGTAAACTTTTCCAAATATTTTGCGAAGGTTCGCCGATTCTGATGCGAGTTAGTGATTTTCCGAAACTAGAATTTCTTCTGAACCATTTTGTGCTATTTTCCTGATCGGTACAGTGATTTTCGCGAAAATACGGGACTTTGGAAAACAATCCTATCCTGACGTTTACTGCCAAAATACAGCACCCATAACCCCATGCGCAAACTCGCCTGCTGGACTGAATATGTGAATCTGCGTGCGCATTTCGAGTCCAAACGGGTCTCTGGAGATTGTTGCAGACTTGCATGGAACCCACAACGGAGAATTTACCGGTAGGATAATTTTTAAATAACTTTGAACCCTTGAATGAGTTAAAATTGCGTTTTTTGGCACAGCCGCTGCTCGCATTTTTCTTTTTTCTGCAACCGAAATAGCAAACCAATTTAATAGCAAATAACCAATTGGCGCAATAAAACACTAGTACTATTTTTTGAAAAATCCTACATCTAGATGTTGCGTTCTTTTGCACGCGATCTGGAAATAAACTCAATTCAGAAAATTTTAAACGTGATAATACCAGAAAAGCTTCTCGTATTCTTATACACCCAGATCTTTTGCGTAGACTTATTTTGCATTTAGATCCATTAATTTCTTGCTAAAGAAAATGACGAAATCCTAGTACACATCTTCAAAATTTGACCAAGTCGTTAGAAGCATGTTTAGCGACCAAATATTCCTGGCTATATCCTCAAACACCTTACATAGCTCAAGCTTTAGGTTTAAAGCAACCGCTGGGTTAAAGCATGCCATAATAATGTAGACACTTTCAGCTCAAGCTTCTTAAAATGAGCCTGAGCCAGAGTTAAATGTGGGGTTTGGCAAGTGAAGTACACTTCGCTGCACCTGCTCTAATATGGGAAGTTAAATAAAAGCGCTCTTAAATGTTTAAAACTCCATTTGGAAAAAAGGCGGCCGAGATTGATTCGATTCGCCCCTATCAATCTCGTGCATTGGCCCCAAAAGCAAATAAATCTGATTTGTCCAATAGCATGTGGAATTCTTTTGAACAGTATCAGGAGATAAGACTCGCCCGCCTCGTGCATATAGATAATTTGGCTTCTTTTCGAAACCTGACAATACGAATAAATCTGATAAGAGCCCCCGCTTTAAATATGTTTCGAAATAAAGGGGATTCGATTTGAGTGAAAGGGATCGGCCCTTGGGACTTTGCGAATAATCTCGCCAAGTATTAATGTACAGGGGGGTCTCCCTGTAAGTAAATCCAATTTTCTGCTGATCGTATTCAGCTCTACCTGTCTGTGTTAGGGGCGCTAACAGAATCAACGCCAAAGTAGCCTTGTATACACGCAAAGCAACCGGTAGTTTTGGCTTTCAAACCAGCCTACTGGACATGAAATCAACGTTAATCACCGCTGGTTTGTTCATGTATATCAGATTCCTGCCGCCCTCAAACTGACCAGCAAACAGCTCCCAAGAGTGACGGAAAGGGTGGTTTCGATGAATGGCAAATTGCCTGTTTGTTTTCGGGTTAACTCACGCTTCATTTATTATAACATAGAATGGGGGCACGTTTGGAAAAACCATGGTCGATTGGATAAAAATGAAACAATTGATAATTTGGGTCTTCGACCCGTAAGTTTTCCTTCACTAATGCATTTGGAAACTTGGCTTGCAACAGTGAACAATAGCGAATGAACGCTTCAGCTCCAACATGTCTTGACAGTTTCCATCTAGCTGATGGGCGGCAAAGAGTTAATTCAGTTTCCAGAAACTTGCTCGTTATCCTAGTGAAAATTTCGAGCCAATCCCGTCGAATCGAACTGTCGCATAATCGGATTTATTAGCGTCTTAAGTGAACCATTAAAGTAGTTTGGGACAAACGCCAGTTGGTCTAATTAAATAGGAATCCGGAATTATATCAGGGGCTGTTTGTCCTGCCTCGATGACTGAAATGATTAGCAAGTGACAAATTATCGTCATTAAACTATTCAAGGGCTTCGTTAACGCCCCAATTGATTGTTTGCTTTAACAAGCTCCCTTCTAGCGCTGTCTGGAATTGGTCATTTCAATGTTCTTGGTTGGGTTTCAGGAATTTTTCGTTTGCTGATTTTGCACTAACGGTGATAGTTTTTTCCTTGTTTTGTCCCTGTTCTTATACAGAAAGTTCGAAACTTGTTATTTATCTGAATGTTGCGCGAGTTAAAACAATCTGAGGCATACACAAAACAGGTGATTCAAAAGTGTGTGGATCAATCTGGAACCAAAATACATGTAAACTCGAAGTGCTGCGTTCGAAAATGGCAAAATTTTAGGCCATAATCGGTCGCTGAATTGCTCCATAATCCCCCAGATCAGTTTCATCTTGAAGTTATTAAAATTGTTAAATGGTTGGGCGCCGTTAAAGGGCCCAGTAATTAAGCAGTGCATTAACCGTGTGATAACGACTTGTATGAAACGCATTCAAGGCAGATTATTAGGGTATGTATTGTGGCAGGTTGGCGTTTAATAATTTAAATGGGCCGGGCGAATGCTGTTCCATAATTGTGGCTAATAGCCAATTATTTATCGCTAAACTTGTTCGGTGTTTGGCTTTTGCCGTCACCGCATCTAAATTGTTTAATTCCCGGCTTAGTACGTGTTAATTGAAATACGAGCTACTATTTAGTGGTTTTATTACTGGTTTTGATTGTGGAATTATATGAATGATCGATGAGCCGTAATGGGGCATCGATTCCACTCCCATGTTCGATCAATGCAGTTTAATTTGGTTAAGAGAGAAGTTTTAGTCATAGAATACAGTTTCTTTGAAACGTTTCGCAAAGCTCACCATCGAGTCAAAGATTTTTCTCATGGTGATAGTTCTTGCCGAAAATTAGAGCCTCAACGAACAGGATCAACTTAATGTTTAGTTAGTCGGCGCATTGGCCTCTATGTGCTTCGATTTGTCCCGATGCCATATTTATCGCCATTAAATTCCAATAAATCACTGCGAAAAAGCGACGGGAAACCAGATAGGAGCGACGGAAGCTCTTCTTCTACCCGACACCGCTGACCACTTAACTTCTATTACATTCGATTTGACGTACCGAAGTGCTTGTTATACCAACGGGAAACTCCAGTCTTTATTAGAGGGTGAAATATTTCTCGTTTCTTCCGGTTTTGTGATAACAGCGATCCGATGTCTCTAGAACAATGGCCCGCCAATATTTGGCAGAAAACTACTCAGTGGCGCACAGTGTGAAAATCAAAATCTGGTTTGTAAACCTAATTTCTCACTATTGGGCCAACTGGTTTGGATGAAATTTGGCGCGAGTATACTTGATGTGCTATGGAATCAGTGGATCTAAGTAAAACCTAAAAATAATTTTCCAGCCGGAAAATCCACGAGGAAATAGAGTGTTTTAGCTTTGAAAACGTTGTTTATGTTTGTGAATCTGCTGAACCTAAACCTAAGCAAAAAACCGAAAAAATACGCAAAAACGCGATTTTTGGTAGTAAAATGACAAATATTCTATTTTGTTGTTAAACTCTTCAGCATTCATCCATAATTTTTAAGCCCAATCAAGTATTTATAAATAAACCTAATAAATATCAATGGCTTTTCCGACGCAATTGCGGAAACTCCCCAGAAAAATTACGGATTTTCTGACTTGACTACTAAACATAATTCTAGAAAAAAAATTCAAAATTAATCCCATTTTTCTCAAAGCTCGTATTTAAAAAACGAGTAGAGCCAGAAAGCGCTAGTTTTCAATGCGAGATAGAGCGTTCAATTCTGCACTCTTTTGTCCCAAACATCATTCTAGAAAAGTTTATAGTTTTCACGCAAGAAGC